AGGCGGAGACGTAGTGTGTGTCAGGCATGGTGGAGGTAGTTGTGATGTAGGTTTGGTTGTTGTAGAAGTGGTGGTAAGTCGGGAATGTTTGACAAAGGTCTGGAGGAATCTTTGATATCCTGAAGATGTAATTGTTCTTCTGATTGCTTGATGATGAATATGAGAAACAACTCCAGACAGCTGGGGAGTCAAGCCCTTCTTATACACTCGGACGACCATGATGCAAGCCGCAGCATTTACACGTCAGAGTCTGACGAGAGCCATGACTACCATGGTTCTTCCATACAATGTAAGCCACCAGCTCGGCTTGAAGCCTGAAACTCGGCATGGCCATGCCGTGGTGGTGTCTCCCGGTCCCCGGTTGAGTCACCCACGCCCTTCGCCCGGGGGTGCTACCCTGTTCCCCCCCCGCCAAACGACACCGATCGCGGGTCGAACTTGCGCCGTGGAGGGCCTATCTGACAAATGGCGAAGAGTGCTGGGATTCGGCGAGTCGATTGGGACAAGGGGGCCGCGTGGGCCGTCGTACGCTCGTCCGATGATGAGGTACTTCATTCCCCACCAGCATCAGGTGGAAGCCGGAGTACCTCATGCACGCTCTGAATACTGCATGGGGGAATTGACCAATGACAGTCGAGCCGCTGGTCAAGCCGTGATGACACTCCACCGAGAATCCAAGCCGACAACGCTCACCAGACCCAAGCCGAAGCCGAACTTTGATCCTTCACTGCAATTCGAACCGACCTCATGCCCCCATCACAATCGTGTTCGGCTTCGTTCGTCAGCAACCACTGACAAATCCAATTCGACACTTCGACTTGCATCCTTCCCTCCAGCGGGACGGCTCTCTTTGACGCCATCGCATTGACCTAGGGAGAGCCAGCTCAACCCCAGGCTCCGACTCCGCCATGCCATCAAACGAGGGGACCGAACGGCCGAGCCGAGCCTCACTCCGTCGCCCGAACGGACGCCCGCAAGCCTGCGAGCCGTGCCGGAAGCGAAAGGTGGCTTGCGATAACCGCCAGCCCGTATGCCGGCGCTGCGAGAAGACGTCTCGGGGCCCCGACTGCCAGTACATCGTCGACCCGCGCATGTCCATCGTGGCACCAGTAACATCAGCCGTCGTCGGAGGCCCCCCCGGATCACCTACATCCAGCCACGCGTCGTCCAGGGTTCATCAGCCCACAGCTGCGGTTCGCGGGACTTCGGTATCGAGCAGCAGCTTCTCCCCCGTCACCGACACTCCATTGAGCAATCCCGTCACCGGCCCCGGCTACCTGGGCCCGACCAGCTTCTGTGGTATCTACGAGGAGGCCGAGGAGCGTCTGTCGCTCTTCCGGGAGATCGCATGCGAAAACGCGCGCAGCCACGCCGACGCCCATGTTCCCACCAGCAGCTTGCCGGACCTCTCGCCCCGGACTCTAGAGACATGCCTCGTCGTGCTCAGGCAGATACCCCTACGCAAAGAAGCAGAGAGGCTGTGCGGCGTCTACACCAACCCCAATGAGATGTGGTACTGGCTCTTTGGTCCCCGCGCCCTTGCCTCCCTTTACGACACCTTTGAGGAGTGCCTCGGAGACGGGAAGAGGTCTGATGCCGCCCTCGCAGATATGGCGAAGCGCCTATGCTACAACACCTCTCGCCCCTTCCCGGAGAACGCGGACGAGCCCAAGACCTGGGAGCGCCAGTTCTCCGGTGACAACTTCCGCTGGGAGACGCTTGCCATTCTCTTCACGTACTGGGCTTTTGGCACGAACGTCTCTACGCCCGTTCGTTGCGAGATCATGCAGGTCCCTAAGCTCAGGCACAAGATGAACGACTACCTGGAGGGCATCGACATCTGCATCCAGCTTTGCCGCAGCCTCAACAACGGCAACACCTTTCTCCTGTTCGTGCTCTTCCGCCGCACCATTCTCGAGTCCATGAAGTCCGGCGACGCGAGTCCCCTTGTTTGGAGGGGCCAGGGCGACGTCGTCTCCCACCTCACCTTCCTTGGCCTCCATGCCGAGCCGAACCCCCCAACTTATGTGCCGACGATATGCTCAGAGTGGCGCCGCAGGCTCTGCTACTACGTCTTCAACATTGACAAGGTCATCGCTGCCTTCACCGGCAGGCCGCCTGCCTTCAGCCGCCGCTACCTCTTGACGCCCTGGCCCCTGGACCTTCCAGACTCGGATCTCATGTCCGACAAGGCAACGCTGGCAAAAGTTGCCGCGACTCAACTTGATGCCAACGGCTGGAACAAGTCGGGCATCGTCGGTCCGTCGACCATATGCCGCGCCCGTGCCGTCATTTCCACCTTTAGAGATGAGATTTTCGAGCTCGCCATGGGCAACGGCGTCGGAACAACAGACGAGCTCCTCTGGTAAGTGCCATGCTCCCTTGTTGATTTGATCCTCAGACTGACCTTCGCAGGGACATTTTCAACAGGGAAAAGGCAGCGGTGGCCGCCCTCCCGTCCAAAGTATTGTACAAGCACGAGGACTTGATAAATCCCCTTGTTGACCATAACATGTATGCGTACAAGCTGCTTGTCCGTCTTGAGCATCTTCAAAACGGTTTCTTCATCTACCGAATGCTCAAGCAACGAGGGCACGACATCCAAGCCGATCTCGTGGCAGTGAGCTTCGAGCTGGTGTCCCTGACGCTTCTCTACTGGACGCACCTGGACCGTGTTCCCAGAATCGTGACGGACCTTGAATGGATTGTAAGTCTTCTGCGCAGTGATCTGAACTCAAGCTCACAATTACCAGGTAATGGCATACGCTGCGCCGTCAGGCGGCATCCTCTCCCAGGAACTCCTGTGCCCATCAACGACACCCGGCAGAACAGCAAACAGCGGCAAAAACGGCCCCTCGCGCTTCGCAATCATTGAGAAGCTGTTTCTGCTCGTGGGATTCCTCGACTGGGTCTCGCCCAACGCGCCCAACAGCGACCTGTGCAGGTCCTGCAAGCGCGTCATCCGTCACGTCCTCGAAAAGGTCACGGCCCAAGAACCGGCTCCAGCACCAGGCGTTGAGCAGGCAGCGCCCGTCTTTGAGCCATGGAACTGGGACATCGGGGGCACATCGCTCGACTTTGACTTTGAGCTGCTCGATACGTTCGACTGGCTTAGGCCGGACGTGCATGCGAGCCAAGGGCACCTCGGCAATGGTCTGCAATGATGAGATTGACGGCATCTACGTGTCGTAAGGAACATTCAATTTGCAACTAACATAAAGACAATCTGGACCGATGACCTCAAACCAGCAGCCCCTCATACGCCTTGGCAGTGTCCAGAACACTCTTTTCATACGATATCCAGGGGGTTCCCGTCGCTTTGACAGCCTTGCTCGCGTCAATGCTGATATCCGCAGGCGTCTTGAACCCCTCCAGGTAGCCGGCACCAGCCTCGCCCTCCTGGACTTTGCCTCCCGGGTACGCCTTGCGCAGGATGTCTGCCACAGCTTGCGGTGGACCCCATGCGTCGCCCACGATGTAGCGTTCGTCCTTGGCCACCTCCGACTTTTCGACAGCGAAGACGACCACCCTGGCTACGTCGCGGACATCGACGTACCAGGAAAAGGTACCGGCTGCCGGCTGAATAGGCTTGCCACTCAGCACATCGAAGATGTACGCGGTGGTCTCGGGGATCTTGTCCCGCGAGCTGGGTGTGGCGAGGGGCGGACCGTTGACGAAGACGGGGTTGACCGATGTCATGGCAAAGCCCGGCTTCTTCTCATCTTTGAAGTCCCAAAAGCTCTTCTCGGCCGCGGTCTTGCTCGCGGCGTAGATGAGCGGCCCGGGGCTCTTGTCGCCGAGCATCTTGACGAGCTCAAGACTTTTGAGGTTCCAGTCCACCTCGGTGAAGACATGAGGTCCCTGCCTGGTCGAATCGACAACAGCTGCGATCGACGACATGAGCACTACCGATTTGACCGAGGGCTCCTTCGCAGCGGATTCGAGGATGCCCCATGTGGCGGTGGTCGCGGTACGGATCACGGGCTCGGCCTCGGTGAAGGAGAGGGAAACGGGAGCGGCGAGGTGGGCGATACCGTGGACGCCCTGGACTGCTGCGTCAAAGGCCCCCGAGGCGGTGATATCAGGGACCTCGACGATTTCGATCTGATCGCGGTAGGTGTCCAAGGCTTTGAGGGTTTCTTCCGCAGACCTGGACGATCGAACGCTACCTCGCACCCTGTAGCCCGCTTGAAGGAACGCTTCGGCGGTGCGAGCGCCGATGTAGCCATTGAGGCCGGTGATGAGGATGGTCTGATTGGAAGACATTGGATGTGAGATGGGAGGTGATTATGGTGCTGGAACGAGATGATGGATTGTCAAAGGGAAGGCTTGGAACCCCCTTCGAACGACCCTGTCATCTGCTTTTAATCACACAAACTCAACGCCATCATCGCCAGCTGCGTCTGCAAACATCGATGCTTTCTCAGCATCATGCAGGATGGCTTCAGTTTGGTGGCACTCGATGCCGAGGTTTGGCTCAGCTGCGATTAGTGAGCGCCGCAAAGCTAATCGGCTTCAGCAATGCAGTGGCTGCCCCTATTTCCAGCCGCCCGCCGCTTTGGTGCACCGTGAGCCGAGGTCGGGTGTCGATGATCAAGCAGATGAAATCTAATCACGAAACACCTAACCGTCGCAATGTGATATGTGGATGAATGTGAGACAATAACAAGAACAACTCACCACGATCCTCGGCTTTTGAGACAGGCGTTGTACAGCTGTTGCTGCTACCCCCCGTTAAAGCGGCGACGTGCGGCATCACGACAGCGCCGCCACATTATTCAGCACATCGCGATCGATAGGCCTGAAAACAGCCACCCTCATGATATCGGATGGACTTCCGCTGCGATTATTCATCATCTCAACTGGAAGCAGTCTGTGCCTCAATGACGCTGGACATGCTGATACCACAGAAGCAGGACCTCCCCGGCCAGCGATGTCAACACAGTGGACCTGCTCCACCATCAAGCAGGGGCAAGAAGCAAAAGAGCAAAAGAGAAAGATGATGAGGACGAGACTTGAACTCGCGCGGGTTGCCCCACCAGGAATGTCGTTAAGGTGACCTTAACCTGGCGCCATAACCAACTCGGCCACCTCACCGTCGATGGAGTCGTCGCTTCAGTTGAGCGTACTTGGCCACCCATTCAAGTTGTGGACTTTGATGGATCACAATAAGGTCCAGATCAGGAGTTTAAGTGATCGGCCGAAGTCTAGTGACCTTGGAAATGGCGTTGATGTCTTGAGGGGGTGCAAGGACACCGGCCCTCGGGCGTCGAAAGGTTCTGCAGCAAAGGCACCAAAAGACGTGGGTTGTCTTGAAGCAAAATGCAGTAACAAAAGGCTGGTAAGTAGAAGTATCCCAGATGTATTGGAAGCCTTAATGGGTGGTTGCTAAGGGGATGTTTTGTTCAGAGCGGAAATATCCATATGGTTGTGAAAGACACAGCCCTGGGTCACAACCAGATCACACTCCTGTGAAATGTACGACGGCCGCGCGTCATTTCCGGCGGGATTAAAAGATCTGACATTCTTTGATCCGTCGTCTATTTGATCACAAACAGTTTCGCCCGGTTTCTGCATCTCCGTGTACTTGAGAAAAGTAGGTGGCACCCAAAGCGGCCGATGTGGTTGAAATTGCCTTCGACCTCGGCCACCGCAGCCATGAGACCACGTTCCCTCGTCGAACCACGCCCATGCACACATAGCCTCAGCCTCCACAGGCACAGCGACGAATAACGCATGGAATGCCTATCAGTTGGTTGTTGTTCTTTTCGTCGAACCTGTTACACGTCATTGAGTAACCATCAACCCTGATGCGGACTTGTCAGCTGTTTGGAGAGCAACTTTGGCTGTAGCCATTCTTCGGAAAACAGAATCTGGGGAGATATTCTCGGCTCCTTTGAAGCGACTCGTGCTTTACGAACGCCGATGCGAATGCAAATCTTCAAGCTCCAGTGCCGGCAGTCAACCGACCCAGCGGCACAATACAGCCGTTCAGCATGCTTGGCTGCGTTCAAGCCTCCCATCCCGCAGAAGCAAAAATGAGACAGGGCGACCAGGCCTAAATCCTTCCAGTATTTCCCCCATGTTGTCGGGCGTAAGTTGGGGTGCTCAGGCGGGTGACGGCCCGGATGGGCGGCGGCAATACAGGGGGCAGATGTGCTTCTATTCGCCAGCCAGGCGATGCCCCTGCCGTCCCCGGACTCACCTCGACTGCTCCGCCCCGCTGCCTCTTCCCACATGCTCGGATACCGCCCGACACAGGTAGCGAGGCCTCCCTGGATTGCCAAGCCCCCAGGGCCTCGTCCTGTCTGATTCGCGGAGAAGCCCTTGTTCGGGCAAACAGCACGGCCTTGCGTGCGGCCTTGCTCTTGGCCCTGAAGCCGCACGAAGCGAGATGACAAGCATCCCATGGTGGCGGCTTGGCTCAATAGTCCAATCGGTGGGAGAAGAAGCAACTGCATTTATTGTGACCGATTTCCTTCAAATTCCATGTATGCCACGCCTTGCGTCTTGTACATCGTAAGCATCACCAAACGAGCCATCGCTCACCATCCGCAAGCCCAAAGCAATCCAATAACGACCAAGATGCCTACCGCGACGACAGTGACTGGAGCCGGTGGCCTTATGCACGTTGAATTCTACAACGTCGGGCCTCTGACGTCCGTTTGGACGGCACCAGCGGCATGCTCGACAGTCCCGGTAGCCCCCAGCGGCCTCTCCTTCCCCTATCATCCTCTCGTTCAGGGCCTGCAGGTCAACAACTGCGAGGAGTATGAGTTCCACCCGGAATGTCAGCCCGGAGGCGAAAAGGTGGAGGAGCTCGTTGAAGAGCATGGAGCACCGGGAAGGATGATCTACGAATACCACTCGCCCGGTCTTCAGTGCCCCGACGCCTGGGAGACGGTCGGAGTCTTTGCCATGAACAACGGGGTTCCCAGTGCCTCCGGTCTCTTCAGCCCCACCCTCTTCACTTACCGGCCCGAAGAGACCGCGACCTTCCCTCCGGGCGAATTCTTCGCCAACATGTTCACCTCTGTGCTCGCGCCCACGGAGACGGCCGTCGCTTGCTGCCCGAGGTCAGTGCTAGCCATTGCTTGAAAGTGTGATCTCTTTGCCTTCTTTGGCTGACCCATTTCACAACTTACAGTGGATTTTCCGCCGACCCCTACGCCGGCTGCTACTCCAACTTCCCCGTCACCGAGCTCGCCGGCGAGACGGCCTGCACTAGGAGCTACACAGGCACCCTCTCCGCAACGGCGTCAGACGACGGCGACTTTTTCCAGCAAACTGAGTACACCTTCACGTTCTACGGCGCCACGGGCACGGGCATGGGCGTCAACGCTTCCGCCTTCAGCCTTGCCAACCCTACTGATACCAATCCCGCAAACTACGTCACATACACTGCTACCATTGATGCCTCGGGCATTCCGAACGGTGATGGCTTCGACGAGGACGGCTACTTTGGAAGCCAGACCAACAGGACGGGACTCGCTGTGCGACTGCCCATGTTCCTGGTCAACAGTGGTGAGGGGGCAGATGCCGAGCCCAATGACGGTGGTGACCAGCCTGGTAGTGCTGGCCGCAACGTTATGTTGGGTAGCTCCTGGACTGCTATCGGCGCCGTCTTGACCGCATGGGGAGTTGGCATGGCTGCTGGCGTTGGACTCCTGGCGGCCTGGTAATCGGTGGCAAGGGGTTGGGGTGGTTGTCAAGGAGTGATATTGTTGGAAGTATTGGTATAGACTTTGCTAAGGGGGGCGACTTGTCGCTTTTCATTGTTAGTAGTGTATCGGTTCAAACCAAGAGCATCTGAACTCGATGTAGTAGAAGCCGAAAGGAGTAAAAAGGGAATTCCAGCCGTTTTCTTGTCTTGTTGTGATCAGTTCCTCAGGTCAGTCCTCCTTCCTTAGATTTTGTTGTTTCCGAGAGTACATGGTATGGTGCTGCCGACTACTGCCGCGTACGAGGACTTAGCTGACCAAGGTGCCTACGTTAGTTGCTGCAGATGCATAGCTGAAATTTTGGGGAAGTCTTTGGATCCGTGCTTCAGTGTCTCTGTTCCCAGTCCCTTAGAGTGTTGAGTGGGCTGTGGCACACGTGCCTGAAGGCTTTTACCTTTGACGTGACGACTCAAGCCAATCTGCTCTGAGAAAAGACTGACTTCTTCAGCGTAGTTGAAGAACATGGGAATTGTGGAGGAGAGACATTGACTGAGAGGAGCACATGGGACTTGTCAATGGGTTCAGAGACCTGGGAAGTCTGAGTCTCATCGGCAGCTGGGGACTACGGCAAGCCGGCACAACTTATAGACTCTGCGCAGTCCATCCTCGGTGCGAAGCCTCCGTTGTAGCGGAAGCTTGCAGCCCCTCATTATGGCATGCGAACTGCAGAGAGCTCGCCATCGCATCTCATATAAATCACTCCCCTCACACTGCCGCGTCTTGCCGACTAACCGCCCTCTCTTCCGACCTGGACGTCACGCCAAGTTGTAGACCAACCAACCCAGGTACCCGGGCCGAGTTCATTTGAGCGGATAATATAAGCAGGCAAAGACCCCCGCCAAGAGAGGGGCCGAGGGGCGGGATATCCGTCAATTCCGCCATTGGCTCGATCTCATCACGTCGCAAACCATGGTTCCGCCTGCGCATCCGGCAGCTCCCGGATCCGCCCAGACCGCGACCGCCGTACCTGAGCACGCACGTCCAAATGAAGCAATATGCGCGACTCGTGAACGTCTTCCCCAGGGTGCCATCCCCCCATATTGGCACCTGCAGGGGGCGGGGCCCCGACATGGCGACAGCCGGAGGAAGACCCTCCACACTCCCGCGTTGGGGTTCTCGGGCCCCGGGCGCACCTATGCCGAGCCCGGCACAAGGTTCAACGTCCGACCAACTGACGAGTGCGAGAGGTTCGATCGTGGGGTGCTTCCAGGGATTGCTTGCTAAGAATCGCGTAACCCCACTCTCGCAGGAGAGCTCATTCAGGACATGGTAGACCGTTTAGGTCAACGGAGCGGAAGTTTGTGGAGAAACACACGCAACGACGGCCCTCCCGGGACCATGGGCCATGACCGAATCGTACCGCCATCGACCGGACGAGTCGTGGCCACGGTGGCAGACGCCTCCGCCCCCCGGATCTAGACATAGCCAGGGGATGGGTCGAAGGAGGGTATATAGACGCAGGCAGGGTCCTCGATGTGCTTCCTTGGTAGACAGCTTCAGTGTCGATCGACTCAAGCCCGCACCAGAGTCATCTCGCAGACATGAAGGCCCTTGCTCTCCTCGCGGCCGTGGCGGCCCCGGCCCTCGCGGCTTTCGACTTCAAGAACGTCAAGTTCGGCGGCGGCGGCGGCTTCGTGCCCGGCATCGAATTCCACCCGACGACCCCAGGCGTTGCCTACGCTCGTACCGATATTGGTGGTCTGTACCGCCTCAACGCCGATGACTCGTGGACGGCTGTGACCGACTTCATCGCGCCCCACGACAAGTGGTAGGTTTCTCGCCATCTCGCGCAGATATCGCCGAGGATGTTTGGCTAAGCTGACTCGTCTATCAGGGGCCGATGGGGCGTTGATGCCGTTGCCCTTGATGCCTCAAACCCCGACAAGGTCTACGCTGCCCTGGGCATGTACACCAACAGCTGGTAAGACTGTGATGTCATTTACTCCAATCTTTCCTCCGTGCTGATTCCTCCAGGGATCCCAACAACGGCGTTATCGCCAGGTCCAACGACAAGGGTAACACCTGGAGCTTCTTCGACCTCCCCTTCAAGGTCGGCGGCAACATGCCTGGTCGCGGCATGGGTGAGCGTCTGGCTGTTGATCCCAAGAACCCCAACGTCATCTACTTCGGCGCACGCAGCGGCAACGGTCTCTGGCGCAGCACCAACGGCGGTTCCACCTTCACCAAGGTGACCTCCTTCACGAACGTTGGCACCTACATTCCCGACCCCAACGACGCCGGTGGCTACAACACGGACCGGCAGGGTCTGGCCTTTGTCACCTTCGACTCGACCTCGCCCCTCCTCAACGGCGCTACCTCGCGCATCTTCGTCGGAACTGCCGACAACGTCACCGCCTCGGTCTACGTCTCCAACAA